GGTGAGGAGAGAACTGGGTGGTCTATGGACGAATGGAGGCTGGCTGGTTATTCCCGCTGTTTGTCCCCAGAAGTTTTCAGAAGCTGGCTTAGTACTCCTCAGCCGACTGCCATGGCCGGGGGACTGCCCAGCCCCACCCGCCTGGCACGCTTCTGCCAGAAACTGAACCGTCTGAAGCCACTGGAAGAGTCTAGCATGGAGACATCACTGCGGCGCTGCCTGTCCACACTGGACTTGACCCTACTGGGTGTGGGTGGCATGGTGGGGTCTGGGCTCTATGTGCTCACAGGCACAGTGGCCAAGGACATGGCTGGCCCTGCTGTGCTCTTGTCCTTTTTAGTGGCTGCTGTAGCCTCCCTGCTGGCAGCCCTATGCTATGCAGAATTTGGAGCCCGTGTGCCCCGTACCGGCTCCGCATACTTGTTCACCTATGTGTCCATGGGTGAAATATGGGCATTCCTTATAGGCTGGAATGTGCTTTTGGAATACCTCATTGGAGGTGCCGCTGTGGCCCGTGCCTGGAGTGGCTATTTGGATGCCATCTTTAACCACAGCATTCGCAACTTCACCGAGTCTCATATGGGTGTCTGGCAGATGCCCTTCCTGGCCCATTATCCAGATTTTCTGGCCGCTGGTATTTTACTTGTGGCTTCTGCCTTTGTCTCCTGTGGAGCCCGAGTCTCTTCCTGGCTCAACCACATGTTCTCAGCCATCAGTATGATTGTCATCCTTCTCATTATCGTCTTGGGTTTCATCCTGGCCCGCCCTCACAACTGGAGCCCAGAAGAGGGTGGTTTCGCACCCTTCGGCTTCTCTGGCATCCTGGCGGGCACAGCCACCTGTTTCTATGCTTTTGTGGGCTTTGATGTCATTGCTGCCTCCAGTGAGGAGGCCAAAAACCCACGGTGGGCTGTACCCATGGCCATTGCGATTTCTCTTGGCCTGGCAGCTGGCGCCTATATTCTGGTCTCCACCGTGTTGACCCTCATGGTGCCTTGGCACAGTCTGGATCCTGACTCAGCTCTTGCCGATGCTTTCTACAGGCGGGGCTACAGCTGGGCTGGCTTCATTGTGGCGGTCGGTTCCATGTGTGGTAAGGGACCCTTCTGGGCAGGGTGGGAGTGGACAGGGTAGTGGGCCTCCGCCCAGGTCCCAGTTTTCCTGCCTGTATAATGAGCTCATGAAAACACTCATTTCCAAAGACTTGTTGGCAGACCCTCTCCCCTTAAATCGTACACAGAATATCAGCTTGGGAGCATGAGCTTACAAGTCCTTCCCAGGCAGACTGAGAGCTCTCAAAAGGTCTTAAATGGGCTGGACCTAAACGGAAATGCCCCATTCCTAGGTGGGAGGTGAGAAGCAAGTACCCTCAATGCACTCTTACCTGAGAGCCCATCAGCAGCCCCTGCTGCGCTTACCTGCCCTGCTGATTGTTTCCTATGCTCTGCCGCAGCCATGAATACGGTCCTGCTCAGCAACCTCTTCTCCCTGCCTCGTATTGTCTATGCCATGGCCGCCGATGGGCTCTTCTTCCAGGTGTTTGCCCGTGTGCACCCCCGGACACAGGTGCCTGTGGTTGGAATCCTGGTGTTTGGAGTCCTCATGGCTCTCCTGGCACTGCTGCTGGACCTTGAGGCACTGGTCCAGTTCCTATCCATTGGCACCCTGCTGGCCTATACCTTTGTAGCTACCAGCATCATTGTCTTGCGTTTCCAGAAAGCTTCTGCCCTCAGTTCCTCATGCCTAGCCAGCCCTGGCCACACAGCTAAGAAGTATGACTCCTTCTCAGACCACATACAGCTAGTAGGTGCTGCACAGACTTCCATGTCTGAGCCTGGTCAGCTGCGGCCAGCCCTGAAACCCTTCCTGGGTTTCCTGAATGGATGTTGCCCTGGAAGTGCTGTGGCCTGGGCGCTTGGTGTCTTGGTAGCCTCTGCTATCTCCCTAGCGTGTGTGCTGGTCTTCGGGAACTCAGACCTGCACCTCCCACGGTGGGGCTATGTCCTGCTGCTGGTTGTCAGTGGCACTGTCTTTCTGTTCAGCCTCCTGGTCCTGGGGGCTCATCAGCAGCAACGGAAGCAAGACACTTTTCAGGTACACCCACTTTCTTCCCCCATCCCTCTCAAACTGACATGTTCCCTTTGCCCCAGCCTCTCATGCCACCTGAGAAGGCGCAAGGGCTCATGGGGCTAGGGAGGCAGGTTTATCCATTCCCACTTCCTCCAACATTTGCATGGTGAGGGTACACGTGGCTCAAATCTTCAGAGATGAAGACAGGTTCTATGGAACTTACACACAGTCAGGCTCTAGACTGGCATAGCTATCCTGCAGACAAGCTCAGCATCACCCTTGCACCCTCAGATCCCTTTGGTGCCCCTGACTCCAGCCCTCAGTATCCTTCTCAACATTTGTCTCATGTTGAAGCTGAGCTACCTGACCTGGCTGCGCTTTATCTTCTGGTTGCTGGTTGGTGAGTGGGGCCTGGGCTTGGACTCAGCTATTCTAAAATGGGAGGACAAAGAGGGCAGGTGGAGTTGGGACCTGCCCCTCAGCTCATGCCCGTTCCTGCAGGACTTGTCGTGTATTTTGGTTATGGCATCTGGCACAGCAAGGAGAACCAGAGGGAGCCATTGGAGCTGACTACTGCACACTACGTGGTGTTCCCCAGTGGCAGCCTGGAGGAAACAGTGCAAGCTGTGCAGCCTGCTGGCCAAGCCGCAGTCCAGGAATCAGCCTGTACAGAGTAGCTGGCCAGTCTGTGAGGCTGGCTCATAGAGGGCCCCACATTGCCCACATCCAGAGGCCAGAAGAATTGGCAGCTGCCTGCCCAAGGAAGTGTGGATTTGAAGCCTGCCCAGACTGGGCTGGGAGTGTTGTCAGTTCCCAGGAACTGAGCCTTCAGTCTTCATGGAATAGGACTTGGCCAGTGCTGGTGTGGACTCACTGCCCAACACCTTCTTGTTTTGATCAACTCTGGATACCTGGGCAGGTGGGGCAGAGTGGGCAGGGAAGAGGCCCATAATAATAACTAATCAGCTAGTGTTATGACCAGATATTGTGTACACTGTAGCGTTCTTTGTGGCACTGATTCTTACTTGTGTGAAGAGCCAAACAATTGTTCCCAGTCCACAGTAGGGGGACAGAAGGTCTACCAAAAGTACATAATGTAAACTGGGAATGTGACAAGTACAGAGTCCTCACATGTCCTCTATAAGGATTTTTGTGTGCATATGCATGTGTGTGTGTATGTAAGGATGTTTGTGTGCACATGCATGTGTGTGCATGTGTGTGTGTATGTATGGGCATGTGTGTATGCAGGCATGTGTGCATGTGTGTGTATGTGCATACGTGTGCGTGCAGGCATGTGTGCATATGCGTGTGTATATGTGTGTGCATGTGCATGCATGTGTGTGTGTTAGTGGTGCTTGAGATGGAAGCCAGGGCCTTGAGATTGTTAGGCAAGGGTTCCACTAGTGACTGCTATCCCCAGATCTCTGACATGTCCTCTAGCAGGGTATATATCACAATCTGGACTCAAAGGAAATAACTCATAAAGGTGTCTCTTGATTTCCTGAGCTCCCTAGGGATCAAAGTATGTGCTCAAGGACTGCCAAGGGACACTGAAATGCACAGAACACAGGTACATGCCCACAAAAAACTCCCCCAGCACATTCCTGCACAGCCCACACAGTTACCCTTGGAGAACTGACCAGTGTTTCCAAGTCCAGGCTCCTGGTCACAGCTCTCTCTTTTAGTCTCTGTATACCCCAGGAGAGTTTTCTTATAAAGTCTTTGGCGTCTCTACCACTTGTTAATATCCAGGGCAACAGTGTCCATGAGAGGTGGTCTTGGAATAGTACAAGAGTGGTACACTTGATGTGTATGGATGCTCAGGTACTTGGGCTTGCACCCAGTGCCTTCCAGCCCACTAGGCGGCTGTGAAGCTACAGTTCAGAGAGGGAGGAAATCCTAGGTCTGTTCTGCACCTGCCCTTGCCCGTGACTGGGCTCTGTCTCAGGTAGACATCTTCCTTTTCCCATTCTTCCCTTTAAGGACTACACAGTACACAGGAAGCTGCTTGCATTGGCAGCTTTACTTCAGCAGTAATGTCAGGGTTCTTTGGATCCCCAATGACTACTAGGCCCACATGACCCACCTGCAGTAACCAGGCCTTCCCACCCGAGGGCTGAAAGGCATCAGGACTTCAAGAGCTTTTTGGAGGATCTGGAAGCCAGGTGACCCTAATGTTGGTGTTGCTTGGGCCTCAGCCTGGGAACTCCTTTGGTTACTGTGCAGCCATAGCAAAGCTGCCCCTTCCCTTCCAGGGGTACATACTCCGTAAATTATGTCCCACACATGGGCCAAAAAAGGGCTGTGCTTCTGCAGCCCCTGTCCCTGCCATTCTTTCTATGGGCTCTGGGACATGGGAAAAGTCTCTAGTGAGGGAGGAATCAAAGCCCTGTATGCATACAGATCCAGAACCAGCTATCCCCGAGGGAACACGGTGTCCTTCATGGAGATCACACCTGGAAACTCTGGCGCTCTGGGGCCAGACTCAGGGCCTCGGGCAGGCAGGTGCCTCTGCATGCATTGAGGTTGCCAGGAATGTCTTGTTGGCAGGAAGTCCTACATGTGCAGCCTCTCATCTCACCTAGGCCCCTGAGAAACCCAGTGGTCAGGTTAACGGGGCTTGAACTGAATGGCAGAGTTTCTAGAGGACCGGGCAATCAATCTTTCAATCATGTTGCCTTCTCTCTCAGGCTGGACTGAGGAGGGAGTCTGCGTGGGGAGTCTTGTGAAATCCCACCAAGCCCTTCTGCAGTCCTGCTAGAGCTTTGTCCTTGATGTTCCCAAACCAGAACCCTGTCCATCCCAACCCCTAAACTTGAACCTGCAGGGAGTGGCTCAGGAATGGCCCGTGAATGACAGCCACCATGGATGCCTGGATCCCAGCAGTAACAGACATGGGGCAGGGGCAACCTACCACTTGGACAGCAGGGTTTGGGTGTGAAAGGCAGCTTGGTCTACGCAGTGTTGACAGTTGCCTTTGGAGCTTTTGCCTACAAAGACAACAGATTAGGGATCCCTCAAAGTGTGGCAGAACCCAATGTTCAGGCAGTGACTTCAGCTCTGGGACACAAGCAGGCCCACAACTCACTTCTTCATACTTGCTCCTCCAATAGAAGCAGGCTTCTCTATCCACATACAGTAATAGCAGGTCACAGAGGAAGGTGACCTGGAAGAGGTAGGACCTACCATGTTCCAGATTCCTCACCTCGCCCCCTCCTCCAGGCAAGCCCTCACCCAGGACACAATATGCAGGTCTAGCAGATGCCAGCAGGCCCTGGCTGGTGGTTACAATGGCCAGAGTGAACCTCAAGTTCAGACTCACCATGCCCAGCCAAGCTGCTCCTGTGCCCAGTGTGATGGCCGTAGGGATGAGTGCAAACTTCCCTGCCTGAGAGACCCCAGCTGAGCTCTGGGGCTGGGACTGTCCTCCCAGACCTCCACAGACCCTTACCCTGCCCTAAACAGTACCTTCCCAGTGACAAGAATGTCAAAGCGGATCCCATAGAGCTTCAGCAGGCTCCGGGCCTCCACACCTGAGGCTTCCCACCAGTGATTGGCTGTCCTGGGGATAGTGGAGAAGACACCCTTGGTTTGCATGCTGCATCTCAGGCTAGATTATTTATGGTCTTCACCAGCCCAACCCAGAGTCCTATGTTTTAGGCTCCCTGTAGATGTTTGGGACAGGGGAAAACAGCCCAGAACCTGAGCAGAGCCTGACTGGAAGAAGATTATTGTCTATTGAGGGGCACAGGGGATGCTGAAAGAGGTACTGGAGCAGGGGTGGGGGTGTATGGGAGAAGGGTGGTGGGGTGGAGGGAAAGCTGCTAGATCGCTGAAGCAGCAATTCTTTTCAGCCTAGATCTGGGGAGGAAGTGAGTGCAGATGCTATGGCAGGGCTCAAGAAGGCACTGTGAGCAGAAAGGAAGGTGTCAGCAGAAGCCTACCGCATAAGGTTGCAAACGGTGGGGAGCCAAGCACAGTAAGTTGCATCAAAGGGCATTGTCCTTGGGCCTTATGGCCACAAGGGCACATCTGCCTCTATGTGTGATAAAATGATATTAAATGGCAGGAGGAGCCGAAGAATCTACTTGGGAAACTGAAAACATGGCAATACTTGCAATTTAAGATCTCTTAGTTTCCCTAGGATTGGAAAATACAGACTTGAGGACATTATTAACATGGGGAGGAGGGAGAATATAAAATGTTAGATTTAATCTCCAACACCCTTTTCTTAACTTCCTTCTTCCTCCCCTTCCTCCCTCCCTCCTTTCCTTCCTTCCTTTTCTCCCCTCTTTCTCTCCTTTTTCCCCTCCTTCCCCTTTCTCTCCTTCCTTCCCTCCTCCTCTTCTCCTTCCTTTCTTCTTTCCTCCTCCTTCTTTGCTAGGCTGCCTCAGACTCGCTATAAAGCTGAGGAAGGAAGCTGGAGAGATGGCTCAGCAGTTAACGACATTGGCTGCTCTTCCAGAGGTTCTGAGTTCAATTCCCAGCAACCACATGGTGGCTCACAACCATCTGTAATGAGATCTGATGCCCTCTTCTGGCCTGCAGGCACACATGCAGACAGAACACTGTATATATAAAAACAAAAACAAAAACATACAAACAAACAAAAAACCACCAAGGAAGACTCTGACCCCCGAATCTCCCTTTCTCTGCCCTCTGAGGACTGGGATTAGGAACTAAGCATGTACCATGTACCCAAGGTCCAGAGTTGTCTGTGACAATGGGTCAGTGGTCATGTGGAAATATTCCTTGACAGTATTGGGAAGTATGAGTATCCAATATCCAATATTTACTTTCAAATAGTTCTGAGGCCCTGGGTCCAATCCTCAGCCTTAGTGCTTCCAGGGAAAGAAAAGTAATGCTGGCGAACCATGGTCAGAAGTATATGAATATTTTTGCTACTAGTCTGGTTTCCACGCTCTTCTGGGAAAAGTCTTGGATAAAGTGCTGTAGGGGAATTAAAGATGAGCGGCATCTGCTTTGGAGAAGCAGGGCCATCTGCGAGAGGCTGCATCAGGATCTGCAGTGGGAGCCTGCACCCGCAGGTGAGTGAGGAAAGGTGGAATGGAGCTGGGGATGGGACCCTTGTACACACAGTGGAGATCCTGAGGTCAGAGTTGAGGGTGCTCTCTCTGGTGGTCCCAGGGATCTACGTGAAGAGAGTACTAGGCCAGGAACAGTGAGCCAGCACTATGACCATACCTGAAGTTGTACCCCTTCTCCTGCAGCTGAAAGGAATACTGGGGACAGCAGTCAGAGCTCCTGGTGTCCAGGTTGCAATCCCAGTGGATACTGATGCCCACAGCGCCACCCTGCACACAACACATTTCTATTCCTTTGGTAGATAGGCTTGAGACCCTAACCCTGAGCTGCAGGAACTTGCCCCAAATGACTCACCAGCAATGCCAGGTCCTCAAAGTCCCCGCCAGCCATGGCCACAAGGTCCCCGATGCGGAACACTGGGCAGTACGGGCTGGAGTGTGGATCATAGTGACAATGCTTGAAATAGGTGCTGTCCCAGGTGTCTAAGGTGTTGGTTCTAGAAAGGACAGTGATGGGGATCAGATGACCCACCAGGCATGGAACATCTGGTTTAAACCAAGACCTGCCATGCGTACTTGGAGAAGTTGAACTTGCTGAAGGTGACAGTGTTTTTGATGAAAAGTGTGAAGTTCTTGGCCTGAACTAGCAGGGGCTTCCTGAGGATAGACAGTACACTGGCATCATTTTGCTTGTCCTGGGCACCACCCTTGGAGAGAAAGGAGTCTTACCTGGGTACAGCACCACTCTCCACGGGGCACCAGCTCCAGATCTCACAAGTCCTGTGGGTTCCATTGAACACCACACATTGACCCGTTTTTATGCCTTGAAAACACAAAATTAGCTCCAAGGCCTCAAGTCTCCATGGGTTCTGAGGAGGATGTGGGGCATGGGCTTGTCGGCAGAATGAGGTGTTGCACAGACAAGTACAACAGGGCCTGCTTTGGGGACCACAGTATTTCCCTCCCCTCCCCTTGTTCCAGTGGAGGTGCCAGAGAACCAACCCCCCCCCCCCAGTTACCATGGCTGTGTGTTCCTGTCTCCCCTTCAGGGCAGTCCTCATCAGCCCAGCAGCTAGCCAGAGGAACAGAAGGATGCTGAAGTAGGAGAGACTCTAGTCACAGGGATGCCTCTGCTATGTGACTCAGCCTCACAGACTACAGAGCTGTGACCCTGAAGATTCCTCCCAAGATACCCTGGGTTTGGAAGCACAGGGAAGGCACAAGCTGTAGGCCGGGAGGGAAGAATCGTCAGCCTCCTGTGAGATGGTATACAGAGCTGTATTCCAAGAGCAGAATGAGACTCCTGCTCTTCTGACAACTCCGTCCCTGATTGTTCACTGAGGTGTAGTTCTTCTGTGCAACCAGTATAACAGAGTGGTGGGCACAGCACTAGAGAACCACAGAAGGACAGACTAGTGATACTCAATACATGGTTGGTGTAGCTATCAAACAGCAGGGCCTAAGGTCATAGGGCCTGTACAGGGAGGAAGCCCCCCACATCTGCTGTGTCCAGTCTTCTGCCAAACATGGACACTGTATCTACATAAAGCCAAAGAGTCATAGGGGAGCACTATGAGTAATGGCAGCTTTGAGCTTTGGGGTTCAGCTCATGAGGGACTCCAGGCAGACCACAGCAACATGGGAGCAAGAATGATTGAAGGACTGAAAAGGCAGGACTTAAGGCTTTTGTGAAGGATGGGACTATGATTGGTAGCAGAGGTCAGAGTACAGCCACTTTCTTTGCTTTGCTGTCCCAACCCGTGTCTGACTATGTCCCAAACTCCTTCAACCAGACTCCATGGTGAGATGGGAACACCTCTCCCAGTGGCCCTAATGATGAGATACTGAGGGGTCTTTACCACGCACCCATTCTGGCTACCTTCTGCTCATACCTCAAGTCCAACTCAAAGGGTCCATGAGATCTTGGGCTGTCCTTTTCATGACCCAGCCACACCCAGTAGCAGATATCCCCAGAGACACCTCAGCCCTTCATACAGCCTGGGCCTCTGATCCTGATGTTCCCTCTGCCCTGGCATCCTGTTGCAGCCACACTGACCCAGATCACCGGCTCCTTTAAGATTTTGTCCATGCACTTCCCTAAGTCTCCTCACTGCAGTCACTGTGTCATAGGCATCATGGAACCTGCTGCCTTGGATCTTAGCTGCAACTTGAGGAGGTACAGGGAGCTGGAGTTCTGCCAGCTCAGCACAGGGCCTGACCTAGATTGGAGGATGAGGAGAGGGGCTCAAGAAAGGTTTGCAGAGGGATGTGACACTCTATTGAGTGTGTGCTTGGAGGGACCAGGTCACCAATCTTCCAAGAAGAGCTAGCAAGAACTCTGGTTATCTAGTCATCAGATCTGGTGAGTTACTTTCCAGTCATGGGAGGTTCACAGGAAGAGCCAGAAGCCCCAGACAAGGAAATAGGAAAGACATGTGCTTTCTAAGAAGTGGACCTGTAGGTTTGGTGAAGTTTTAGAGCTGTCTACATGTTAAAGCTGGATACAACATTCTCTAAGCATTGGGAGGCTCTGAACAGACTTACCTCTGGGCATCTACCCTGGACTTGAGCTGGTGTCACGAGGAAATTGGTCACCAAGAAGAACACATTCTCTCCCTAGAAGGCAAGGCTAGAGGTTGGCCTTGGCTGAACTCTAGCAGAGGAGGGGCTAGCAGCTGAAGCCTGTTTTGTTTGCATTCTGCTGCTGTCAGTGCTGGGAATGGAACTTGAGATCTCAAGCATGCTAGGCCAGGGCTCTGCTACTGATCTTAAGCTCAGCCTAGGAGCCTGGATTTCGTGGGACTACTGCTCAGCCCTATCTAGTTACCAAGTTTGTGTTGCAGAAAGTGGTGGCCAGCAAGGCAGGCAAAGATTTGTGGCCTTTCCTGAGCCCTGGGGAGTGTCATGACTTTACCAATATCTTTCATACAAGTTTCATTTCAAATTCCACATACCTTCTGAACATAGGCGCTGAAGCTAGAAAGTGGGGACAGGAGGACACCTAACAGTCCAGCAAGGGAGTGCTTGCACGGAAAGCTAGCGCCACCTGGAGCCAAAAATGGTCAAGGCAATGTAGCTACCTTGGAGTCACCCCTCACTTAATATGCCCACAGGCAATAACAATTACTCATTGGTTCACAGAACTAATTTGGAATGAAATTGGCCCATTGTTGGTGCAATAGGTGAGGTACACAGGCATTTGTTTACGTCTTCTCAGGAAATGTGGCATAGCGGCTGGCAATTGGAGCCTTATCAGTTAGGTGGCGGGAGAAGGGAAGATGAATGACATGGTATGAGGAGCCAGATCACACCCTGACAGGCAAAGATAGGAAAAGGGGCCAAGCATCAACCACAAGATGGCAAACTTCCAGATTCTTCCTCACCACACCTATCTAAGACAAAGGTCTGGTGAGCTTACTGATTTTCCTGCCAGAAGGATCTGCTTCCAGATGAATGGTCTAGACCAGTCCAATTATGTTCAATGGTGGTCCTGAACATGTCTCAGCTTGTATGAACCTGTGGGCCTGTCAGCTCCTTCTTTTAAATTGAGCATCTAAAATTCAGGAGTAGGGGGGACCCATCTTACACCACCACAAACATTGGAGGCCAGCAGCCCTCCAAGGGAGAATGAACTTTGGTTTCTGGATCCCCTTCCCCTGTTGGAAGCCTGTGCATGGGGTGTGCATGCTCACTTTTAATAACACTTATTTGCTGTGACTGTGGCTTATCTCCTACCTTTTAATTCTTTTGTTGAACAGTTTTATTTAATTATTTAACTTGTATAAAAGTATATGTGCTGTTTGTGTGCCTGGTGCCCTCAGAAGCCAGAGAGGGCACTGGAACTCCCCTGGACCTAGAGTGACAGAACGTTGTGAGCCACCATGAGGGAGCTGGGATCAGAACCTGTAGCCTCTGCAAGAGCAGCCAGTACTCGCCTAGCTACTGCTCCAGCCCCCTGCCTTTTAATTCTTTCACTAATGGAAAACCTGAACCGGACCCAAGATCCCTAAATGGTAAGAAGGGGACTTCAGAAAGTTCAAACCCTGAACTCTAAGCTCTACCTTTCACTTCCAAGCATAAATCCTGAGCCCATAATATTTCAGTCCTTTTTAGGAGTGTCTTTGTGTGGATGAGGAATGGGTGGGTGTTTTTATCTTTGTTTGGGTAGGGAGTAGGTGGGGTGGTTTATCTTTGTATGGGTGGTGGGTAGATGGATGGTTTATCTTTGTGTGAGTGGTTCATGGGTGGGGTGTTTTGTTTTTGTTTTTTTCTTGATGGCCTCAGGAATCGAACCCAGGAAGCTATGTGAGCTGCATCTCTATCTTTCCTTTTAAAAGGAAGTTCCACAGGCACAGGCTTCCTGGCTTGGAAGCCATTTGCTCAGATTAATTCAACACTCTTCTGAGAGGCCCTTGTCCTTTCCCGAGCTCTTCACTCACTTTCTGGCATCACAGGCACGCACAGCAGCTATGAGGCAGGTTACTCTCAGTGGCTGAAGGACTCTGACCTCCTGCCACAGCACTGGGGACCTACCTGTGATGGCTTCACAAAGTCAGCCACATCCCATAGTCGGTTCTCTTCCTTAATCTGGGTTACAGAAACCCCTTTGAGTTTAGTGATGACAGAAATCTGGGGGTCCAAGTCCCATTCCTGGTAGCCTTTTTTGGCCAAGAGGGCCCACCTAGGGAGAAGATGACAGGATAATGTGACAAGGCCTCTAACACTAGGCTGCCTTGGTATACTTAAGAGGATCCAGATCAGCACAGACGGCTGAGCAGGTCCATCATGGCCACTTTCCACATGCTAGTGCCTCTCAGCTCAGTCCTTTCAGTCACTTCAGGCATCCAGCTAGTGGTCCCTCTGGGAGCCTTAGTGTTCTGTTGCTCATACATGCCAAGAATTACTGCCTCCCACCCCACCAGGGTTTCTCTGGGCAGGAGTACTGCAGATGCACACAGAGACCAAGATGATGCTGGGAACAATGTCCCTTATGTGGGCACATGGTTTCTCATGTCTTCTGAATGGACTAAAATTCCTCTTGCTGACCACCTCTCACCACCCCCATTCACATTCACTCACCAGCTGGAATTCTAAAAAGCCAATTTCTAGCTTTCAGCCAGCAAGGCCAACAGCAGTCTCTTCAGCTAGCCTGGCAAAGTGCTGCTCTTACCCTATTACGTAGGCCACCACTCCCAGCTGCAGCATCCTCTGAGAGACGCCCACCCTGCAGTTTCTAGTCATCACATACTTCTCTGTCTTGTAATCCAGAAACCCCCAGCTCACAAGTGCTGCTGCGGCGGCAGAAGCCATGTTCCCAGTTCTTGCTGGCCCCTAGTGCATGAGTCAGCAAGCAGCTTCAGCTGCAGCTGAACTGCAGGCAGAACAGCCATGCATGGATCCAGGCCAGTGTTAAAGGGACATCTCCATTAGGCAGGATCTGACTCCTTCCTGGCTCAGTCCCAAACCCCAGCTGATCTAGTTCTCCCAAGCCATTTGGAGTCCCTGGGTTGAACCCTATGCATACAGAGAGGATGTCCTGTCCCTGCCCATCCACTCCATTTCTTTATAGGGAGGGCTGTGACCAATGTGGGGTATCAGAAGCTCAGAGGAGGGGTTCTGAGCTCAAACTGGCATATTCCAAAGTGTAACAGGGCAGGGCAGGTTTGGAACCCGCTGGCGCAGCAACACAGGAAAGAGTAGATCTTGAGAGGAAACTGAGACCCTCGACCTGAATACACAGCACAGTTGTCTTAGAAAAACTTTTGCTAGACTCTACAGGTTCCTTAGGTCTTTCCTAGAACCTCCTCCTGTACCAAAACACAAGCTCTAGAGTCAGACTAAAAAAAGTACACGAAAGGAACATGGAGGAGGCGACCACCTGGTGCGGTAGTCAGCCAAGGTGAAGAGCTTACCAAGCTAGTGGTGCTTCTGCAGTCACAAACAACACCCGGTTCCCGGGGAGACCGGGGGTGGGGGTGGGAGCATCATTACTGGCCCCAGGGACCACCTGTTGCCTGTAAATCAAAATCGATTGGCCAGTGAGGTCAGAGGAACCGCCCACATCCCGGGAAGCGTTCCAGCCAGAGAGCTATGCACTCTCAGTCTCTGTGCCCTGACTGGAAAGTGAGAGTAAACAAGAAGGGTCCCTGCAAGGCGTCTACGGAGAGTGAAGATCGAGAGAGAAGCAGCAGTCACTGAGCATCAGATAGAGGCCCTGGAGGCCAGGAACTTCTGGACCACAGATTCACACTTTGCTCTGGAAACAGAAGGTGCCTCATCCTCTGCGTGGGGTCCTGGTTGGACTCCTCCAGCCCTCGGGTGGTGCGAGTCCGCTGGATTGGGACTGCACGCTTCAGTGGGGCCTCAAGCCCCTTGCTCTCTTGGAGGCATGAAGCGGCCCAATGCTTAGTTAGAACTGTCTTGCAGAATAATCTGTAAGTGAAACACCCTAACAGACCGTGGTGTTCCACTTGGAAGGATTCAGGGCCCACTGTTAAAACTATAGGAAAAACTTAGCTAAGGGATGTATTGAGTTTAGAATTGTTTAGTTATTTTAGAATTAATTTAGAATTATTAAACACCATCCGTTTGTAGACATTATGACCTGTGGGCTGAGAATGTAACTCAATTGGTGAGTGCTTGCTTAGCATGCTTGAAGCCTTGGGTTAAATGCTTTCCTCAGCCAACAAGTTGGAGGCCAACTTTGGGGGGAGGGGAAATGTGATCTGTGAAACCAGGGGATGATGGGATGGGGCCAGCATATACTTCAGCAGTAGGTTCTGACTAGCTCTGTGACTTTGAGAAAAGACTCTTTTAGCCATGAGGTCCTCATCTGGGATCTGAATATAGTAGGGCAGGAAAGGGTGGGGCTGTGCCAATGTAGAGGTCTTCCTTTGTCCCCGTCTACTGTTAGGCACCCGTAGTCTTGGAAAACTGGTCATGGCTACCCTCTATCTGGAGTCTTGCCAGGCCCTTAGTGTTGTGCCAGCTTCTTGTCTTCTGCACCAAGGGCGTGCCTCTGAATTGAGCCTTCGGCACCGTGGCCTTGGGCCCCAGGTATCTGTCAGGGATACAGGGATCAGGTGGGATGTGGGAGGCAGTGGCCTTCTTGTCCTTGAGTCAGTTTCACAAACTCACAGCCTTCCTCTGTGGCATACACGTGCCTGCAAGACAGGATGGAGGCTGTGGCATGCTGTGACATAGGAAATGAGGTCTAAGTGGCACTTAGAGGGAGAAGCAGATGTTCCCTGGAGGAGATGGGAGCTCTTAGGACCCCTGTGCCTCTGCCCCCCGTATCTCTGTGCTCTGTTTCAGGGGGCCCGTGCTCTGGCTTCCATGTTGACCTCTAATGTCTACATCAAGCGTCTGGATCTTCGGGACAATGGGCTCTGTAGGGCCGGGGCGGAGGCTCTAGCTGACGTCCTATGTAAGAACAGCATTATCTCTGGTAGGTAGTGCTGAGTTTCTGGGTCTGAACAACAGACACACTTGGGGCCCCTCTTTCCTCTCTAGGCCTTCTCACTTGGGTGTTGCTAGGAGATGAGGAAGGCCTCCTCCATCACAGGGTGAAGTGTCTGGGAGTTTCCTCATTGGTGTAGCCAATGCTGAATGCTGCTCTGTGCCTGACCCATCCCACAGCTATCTCCCCTGAGGGACACTTTACCCCTATACATGGTAGATTCCCAGTGCCTGAGCGCAGACTGGGAGGGCACAGAGAAACAGGGTCTCCATCAACTGGGAACTGGAAGGGAGAGTTGGGTAAGGCTGCTTGTAGATGACAGATCTGCCAATGAAGCTGACCTAGGCAAGCAACACAACCTTGCTGGGTCTGTTTTCCGTCTCTGATATGACCACAGCAGCACCACTAAGCTCTCTAGGCTGTGGCCAACAGCAAAGGAAACCACAGAAGTGATTTCACACTGCAGATGTGTGCTACTCCCTAGCAGTAGGGCAGACAGGGCTTCTGAGGAAGGTTACATTGTCATGAGACACCAGTCATTAACAGGGCAGCTGACCCTCTCCTACAGCACTCTTCACAGACAGACAGTCATGGGATGGGGAGACCAGTAACCCAAGGTGAGTCAGCCTAGAAAATCAGGTTGCAAAGCCCCTTCTTTTGCCTCAGGCCTGGAGGTATAGGGGATATAAGGAAGTGCAAGAGGGTGGTGCCTGGCCGAGGTTTGCACTGACCAAGCAGTGGTGCTGCCCTCAGATGTGGACTTGTCAGAGAACCAGATTGGAGCTCCAGGGCTCCAGGCAATCTGTGCTGCCCTTGCCTTAAACCCAGCTGTGCAGAAGATGCAACTTGGAGGAAACAGGCTGGAGGAAAAGGCCGCCCAGCACCTCGCTGCTCTTCTGGTGTGTCACACGAGCCTAAAATCCCTAGACCTCAGCTATAATCAGCTCAATGACCTGGCAGGTAATACTTGGTCTGGGCAATCATAGGTCATGAGTACCCACTGCCCACTGGTGGCAGGAAAGGGGGATGGACAGGACCACACCCAGCTTCCACCAGAAATATTGTTGTGCTGGCATCTGTTCACCACACCTCTCTTGATCATTCTTCCACTCTAGCCACACAGAACTCTTAATTCCAGGCACAACTCACCACCCTCTGCTGTGGGGATCTATCTACAAACATAAAAGTTCCTGACTTCAAGAGATGTACACTAGCAAGACCATTCTTAGTAATTAGTGGCCCTCCTAAAGAAACCGTGTATGACTGGGCAGCGCTGGTACACGCCTTTAATCCCAGCAGTCGGAAGCCAGAAGCAAGTGGATCTCTGTGAGTTTGAGGCCAGCCTGGTCTACACAGCTAGTTCCAGAACAGCTAGGCTACACAGAGAAACCCTGTCTCAGAAAGGGAGAGAGAGAGAGAGTGAGAGGGAGGGAGGAATGTGTGATTCTAGAAAAGAGTGGATCATGGAGTAGGTGTTTAAACTGAAATCTGTGTGAGGAGTGGAAAGGAGCCAGCCATGGCAAGACTGTGTGCGTGCAGGTATGTTTCCTAGATTGGTTGGGCAGGTGATCCAGGGGAGAGTGACCAGGCTGTGGTTTGAAAAGGATGCAGAGAGTATATGGCCTTCAGATCACTACTGAAGGTATGAAGGCTTCATTCCAAGTGCTTTGGTAAAAGGGCTTGTGGTGTATTGCTCAATGGTAAGGTGCTAGTTTAGTGTGTGTGAGACCTTGGACTCAGTCATTGTGTTGGGATGAGAGGAAGCTAAGTGCTATGAAAGACATGGATAGACTACTTAATTTAGTCATTGTCTCCCCAGGGCCTTTGCATGGGCTGTGTGCTTTACCAGAAATGGGAATACCCACCTAGGTCACTTATCTCTAAATGTACCAGTTATACAAATTGACGCTAGGTATGCCTATAGGCCCAACTAATTAGAAGATCAGTTGAGCCCAGAAACTTGGGGGCAGCTTAGCAGTATGGAAGGATCACCTGGGTCCTGCTTCTGGAGTTTCTGTCACCTGGATTGGCTGAAGCAAATTATTTTCTTTAAACATTTATTTTTATTTATGTAAATGTGTGTGTGTGTCACCGATGTGTGGGTACCTGTGTAGGCTAGAAGAGGACATCCCATCCTCTACAGTTGGAGTCACAGATGGTTGGGAGCCACCCAGTGTGAGTGCTGGGAACTGAACTCAGGTCCTCTGGAAGAGCAGCTGATGCCCTTAGCTGCTCAGACACTTCTCCAGCACCTGACGTAAATAAATTCTTAGATGCCCATGTATCTGCATGTAGTGGACATTGTAGTTGTCCCAGGACAGCTGATTAGATAATTGGATGGAGTGACACTAACCTCAGCCCTGGAGTTTAACTGCTAAAGCCAATTGTCTTCTACAAAAGTTATTGTGGGAAGCCAGTGGAACTAAAGGAGACTCTGACAAACCGTAGCTGTGTCTTTGGAATTGGGAACTTAGGAGCCAGCTTGCTATTACTGTAGCAAATGCCTCAGACAGCCATCTTATTAAGGGAAGTGATGCATTTGGGATCATAGTTTTGGGATCAAAGATTTCAGTCTTTGATGGACTGGGCCTGTGGCTGAGAAAAGAAAAGGGAAAAAAAAAAAAAAAACCCACTCAACTCATGGTCTGGAAGGAAAAAGGCAAAAGGGAGAGACTAGGATCATACAGTTTCCTCAAGGGAACTCCCAGTGGCCTAAGACCTTTAGATACTTTAGATATCGTCATCTACCACATCCCACTCTTAGGGATCAAGAATAGACTATTTAATATTGTGTGTATAAGTGTTTGCCTGTGTGTGTGTCTGTGTACTACATGTCTCAGTGCCCACAGAGGACAGACCATAGCATCAGATCCTCAGAACTGGAGTTACAGTTGGCTGAGAGCCGCCATGTATTTTCGGGGAGCCAAATCTGGACTCTGTGCCCGCACATCCAGTGCAGAGTCAATTCTCCAGCCCCAGGGACCAATCCTTTAAAGCATGCAAGGATCTTGAGGTGGGTTATCATATAAGTTACAGACTATTGCAGACAAGTGACAAAGAGGCAGAGGGGCTGGAGGGGCCATCGGAACGCTATGAAGGGGTGCTGGAGGGGCCATCGGAACGCTATGAAGGGGTGCTGGAGGGGCCATCGGAACGCTATGAAGGTATGCAAGGGAGAAAGGGGGGGAAAGCACAGATTCAGTCTGCTTTGTTTCTCCAAGAGGGGACTGAAGGTTGTTCCTGAGGGGCAAAGGGACTTGTATCAGTCATGCACCATCTATGGCAGTGGGGAAGCCTCAGCTGGTGTGTGCCTCATAGGATGGTTGAGTCACAGAGGTAGAGTTGCCATTATGGACCAGTAGAAGAGTGAGCCTCATCCTTCAGCAGAAAAGAGGAACGGGAGGACACCCACTGTCCTCTTCCAGTGTCAGCAGTGTCCAGGAGAAGTGGGAGATCCTTTTTCTGAGAACATAGAGGTATCAGGTCCAGCCCTGGATGTGACACAGTGCCCAAAACCTTAGTTGTGGCACAGGTGCTAATATAGTGGCTCTTGTTTGTATTGTCAACACAATGGAAGTGATGACAAGATAATTACGGCCAGTCTGGGTGACAGAGTGAGTTCTAGACTTGTCTGTTGTAGGACAAGACCCTGTTCCAGTGTATAACTGTACATGTGCGTACGCACGCGCGCGCGCGCGCGCACACACACACACACACACACACACACACGTCCCTTGCAGGTGATCCATGTGTATGCTGAATTTTGTGACCCTCTTACCTAGCAGAAGCCCTGGCACATGGTGAACATCAGGTCATTTTTGGATTTAGCATTCTTTGCCATAAAAATCTCTTCATGCAAAAAAAAGAAAAAAATCTCTTCATGCTCCTCAGGAGAGACGCTTGGACCTGCCTTGGCAGAAAACACAGGACTTACAGAGCTTAACCTCAGTTGGAATCACCTTCGAGGCACAGGAGCCATTGCACTTGCCAAGGGATTAGAGGTATGAGACACTTTCCTGCTCAGTCCTCAGAGCCTGCCTGGACTTTAGGGAAGTTTTCCCTGAGCCAATTCTTAATGCTACGGCTCTTCAGAAATGAACTTTAGCCCTTTTTGGCACAACTTCCGTGGTGCATCTTAGTTGACCTATTTTCCTACCCCACTAAATGATAATATACTACAATGACTCTCAGAGCATTTCCCAAAAGTCCATAGATAAATGTCAGCTGCCTCCGTGACATCACATTCAGCTGGTAGGCAACATCTGTGCAGTCTGGTGACATTAGTAACAGACGGAGATGCTTTTCCTTGTTTGCCAGCACACACTCTCAGGGTCCCCTGAAACAGCTGTTTCAGGCCCTGCCAGGGTATTAGGAGGCATCTTCATTGCCCCCAGTGACAACAGCTGCCATGCCCTCTTACAGGGGCTGAGTGCTGGCTGTGGGGGGGTGGTAGTCAGGGTCAGGTCAGAGTATTCACCCTTTCCTGATCACAGACTCTTGGGCAAGCTTCATATAAACCCTGCCACCAGGTCACTGGGCCCATGCAGGTATCTCTCTCAGGATACCTGCCTTGGGAATTTGCCTATAGGTGTGGATTTGATCTTCTCTGAGAACTGAGAACTGTCTGCCCATCATCCTTTGCTGCTCTTCAAGTTGTTTGGCCCTACTGGTCACTGTTGCCTGAGAGCTCATGCTAAGTCTGTCCCATACCCATCTTTTGCTATTGCTCAGGCTCTCCTGGGCTCTGAGGCTGTGGCCCTGGCTGGCCCTGTGCATGTGAACTGTCAAATGAAATCATGGCTTTTGTTCTTTGTGTCCTAGGCAAATATATTCTTGAAAGTCCTAGATATCTCTCATAATGGCTTTGGAGATTCTGGAGCCTCTTCAATAGGTGAGGCCCTCAAGGCCAACAACGTGTTGGAAGAACTGAATATGAGGTGAGTAATGAGGGTGCTGCCGTCAGGGCCACACAATGATCCTATTATGTGGCTTGAGGCTCAGCTTTGTCCTCATTCAAAGCTGTTGCTGGGGGCTGGGGTTGTAGCTAAGTTGGTAGAATGCTTATCTAGTGTGCCCAAAGGCTGTGGGTTCAGGTTTCCACACCACATAAATCAGGTGTGGTATCTTACTCATTTCACTTCTGTTGGTATGATGAAACACTGTGTCCAAAAACTGTGTTAGAGGAAGGGCTTATCCAGTTTACAATGTAGGTCAGATGCCAGCATTTCAGGGAAATCACATCACACACAGTTGAGCTGAGAGCAATGCGTTCTCCATGCTGTTGCTTGCTGCTGTCTTCACAGCTTCTCCGATGCATTACACAGTTTATCTGTGGTGCCACCCATATCCAGCATTAGCCTTCCTGCATCAATTAGCAGTCAAGATACCCCAAAGACATGCTGTAGGCTAATCTGATCTAGAGAATTCCTACTCATTGGAACTGTCTTACACAGAATTCTAGATTGTGTCAAATTGACAATAAAAACTGATCAGTACAACCCATCCTTTGTTAATGTGACACACAAATTCTTTAAGCTATACTTTCCCATCCTTGGTCCCCAAGGCCTCATGTTTACTTTACAGTGTAAAAATACAGTACTTAAAAATTCCAGCACTTCTTCAGGTGGTGGTGGTGCACACTTTTAGTCCCAGCACTTGGGAGGCAGAGGCAGGTGGATCTCTGAGTTTGAAGCCAACCTGGTCTACAAAATGAGTTCCAAGACAGCCAGGGCTACACAGAGAAATGCTGCCTTGAAATACAACAAATGAACCCCCCCCAAAAAAAATGTCTCCTTAAAAACACAATCTCTTGGGGATGGAAAGATGGCTTAGGGACTCAGAGCATGTACTGCTCTTTCAGAAGACCCAGGTTTGGTTCTCAGCACCCACATCAGATTGCTCACAATTGCTTGCAACTCTGGCTTCAGCAGGTCCAAATAGCCTCTTCTTTCTGAACTCCTCAGGTACTTACATTCAAACATTAAAAAAAAAAAAAGACTTTAAGAATCCAGAGTGGGTTACTACTGGATTATTACAAAGTCAAAAGCAAGCTACATACTTAAACACTCTTATTCCAAATGGGAAGACCTGGGGGATTAAAAACAATCACACCTAAGCAAAAGTAAAATTTGACTGTGTGAATCCAATCCAATATCAGTGTCCACAATTTAAGATTCATCTTTGGGGCTCTCGAGGGTTTAGGTTTCTCAATCTCTGCCTCTTGCAGGTGGTTTACTGGGTATGTGTCGCCAGTGGGCACAATACACACAGAAGCATCTTCTGAGCCCAAAGAGCCTAGAAGCTGGAATCCCCTTATCTCCAGAGGAGGGGGACAATCTCATTGTGCTTGCCACCCATGTGGCAGAGCAAACCCATTTTTCAGACAGACATTCACTGAGGCCTGGGCATGAGTGGAGGGCAGTGCTATGGAGCCTAATCTGCCAGATGCAACTCAGGCAGGCAGGGGCTCCAAGTCATTGAGCCCTGCAAACTGAAAAGTGTTATGACCAGATCACAAGAACCTCATAGCCTTCTGGACAAAAGACTCTCCCGAACTGCAGTAAGCAAAGTTCCTTTTCATTACAAGCCTCAGCAGGGACCCTGTCCAACAAACTGGCACAGCAGCTGCAGGAAAAGGATGCCTGACCTCAATTACAGGGGGGTTTTAAAGGAAAAAGCTGCAAGCAGGGTGGTGCACGCCTTGGCTGTTCAGGATTATTGGGTAAGAGTAGGTAACCTTTGGATTCATTGATGTGGGGGCTAGAGGAACTTCAAACTTGTTACTAACAGTTGCCCACAAGGACAATAAGATGTTATTTACCAAAACTGGTCATTGCCTGACCACCTGGATGGGGCCACTTTGTCTGGGGTGGGCACAGTTTGGCTACTCCTTGGAACTGTTTATGGTTCCTTGGCTGGAGCTGAATCAGCCTTGTGCCACACAGGGAATACCCCATCCTCTCCAGTTTACATTGCTCTTACAGAAAGCTGTAATATTGACGTCATTTTTTGCTAACCTTGTTAATGGGGTTAGATGTGATGGTTCCATACATGTCTGCAGAGGGCACTGCCCCATCTAGACTCCCCTTATTTTTACTTTTCTCCTCTTCATATCCTTCCTGATATTTAATAATTGCTAGTATATTTTCCAGGCTGTTGTTGCTGTTAGTGTTTCTGTAGGATTCTCGGCTGTTTATCTCACTTAACATAATGCTCTTCCCCCACTCCCCGTTCCACCCATTTGATGCAGATGACACAGTACATCTTCTTTCTTCATGGCTGAATAGACTGTATGGTCCGGACTGGTCCCACTACCTTTCAGTCCCAAGTGAATACACGGACACTATATTAGTTATAAAACTGTTGGCCAATGTCTAGGGCTTCTTATTGGCTCTGTCTTAATTATTAATCCATTTCTATTAATCTAAGTATTTCCATGTGGTCTTATTTTATTGGAGAAGGGTCCAGACATGTCACTCTTTTGGTGGCCCACATGATGACTATTCTGGTGGGCTTTCTCTGCCTACCTTTCCCAGAATTCTCCTTGTCTCCTAGTCCCACCTATCTTCCTGTTTTATTCATCAACCAATAAAAGAAACATATATATAGAAGGACTTCTTCCATCAAACTAGGATACCTATGTCTCTCTTGTTACAGAAACAACCGAATCTCCATGACAGGGGCCTTGAAGTTGGGGCTGGGTCTGCAAGTCAACCAGACACTTCGGATTCTTATTGTAAGTTCGAGCCTGGTTGGGGAAAGAGGCTCCAACACAGATTGGCCCTGTCTCTCTTCCTACAGTCCTTTCCCCCACCAGCCCCACCCCCTGCAGAGACAGAACATGGGCATTTCTGGGAGGGGACTCCCTAGTTTCTTGTGACCACTTTCAACCCCTGACTCTTCCTTCCCACTCTTTTCCCAGTGGCTGTGACAACTCTTTGCAGTCCTTTCCCCTGCTCATAGGAGTTCCATTGTGGGGAAGGTAGCCAATGTAACCCTAAATTACTTTCATCTTCTCTGGACTTCTGTTGTCCTTGATAAAACCCAGGGTCAGGTCAGGAGTACTGACTAGCCGCAGTTTAGACATGCCAAGGTTTTTTATGTTCAGAGGTTCATTTCCTCAGGCTTGCAGGGGTTGAGTGGGCATTAGACAGGATGATAGCAAAGACAGGAGGGAAGGGACCAGGTGAGGTGAGCAGGTCCCAGCTGCACCAACATGTGTGAGGGAGGGGCAATTCCATCTTCTGTGAAATAGGAACCAAGACCTATTTCAAAGTTGGAGCCACATTTCCATCCACTTGTTAGATAATCTCCAAGTCAGAGTTAGTCTCAGAATCTCACCTGGATGAACTACCTGCTTCTTTGGGGGTTGGGGCCCGCAGCTCACCTCCACATCTGCAGAGTTCCTTGCTGGATCCTCCCTCTTCTCACTTCCTGTCCTTGGGTCCCATTGATCTAGTTCACCTGGTGATCATTCTCAATTAGAAACATGGCCTGCTGTGAACCCTCTTTTTATCATTGCTGTTTTAGTTTTGTTTGTGTTTGTTTTTACGTGCATGTGTGCCTGGGTGTATAGATGTAGCAGGGCACCAGATCCCCTGGTGAGCTGCCCCCCACCCCATGAGATGGTTGGTGCTTAACCTGGATCCTCTGTAAGAGAAGCAAGTGTCTTAACTGCTGAGCCACCTCTCTGGCACTTTTGTTTTTTGTGTTTTGTTTTAAATTTTTAAAGATTTACTTATGTTTGAGTGTTTTGCTTGCATGTATGTCTGTGCACCACATGTATGCCTGGTGTCCTCAGGGGTCTGATCCCTTGAGATTAGTGTTACAGACAGTTGAGAACTTCAATGTGAGTGCTGGGAATTGAAATCTGGTCCTCTGGAAAAGAGGCCAGTGTTCTTAGTCACTGAGCCATCTCTCCAGCCCCTCATAGCCTCTTAACTTGGTAAGTAGTCTTGAACCTTGAATCCTCTGGCTTCTACCTCCTGAGTGGGGGTGGGATGGGGGATCATTGGCATGGGTCCTCATAACAGCCTCTAGTATCACAATGAATTCGTCTTTCTTAGATTTCCAAGAATCCCATTCGAAGTGAAGGATATATCAGTCTCCTTAAGTCTGTCCAGAACAACACTTCATCTGCCCTGGAGTTACTGGACATCTCTGTAAGGACTTCTAATTCCCCTTCCATCTGCCAGGAGCTCTGTGAGCTGCTGACATCTCCATATTAGAGGGACAATGGGAGTCAGCTGCTAACCCTGCCCCGATATACTACCTGGCCGATGTGGTACTCCAGCCCAGGCCTGTGCTCCATAAATCCACTATAATTCTGTGCCATTACATGTTGGAAGTATATAATTTAAAATTTTATGTTACAGGGGGTTACAAGTAAGAGGTTGCCTTGAGTCTCTGAAAGACTTCAGACTTTTAAACAGTCTTTTATTTTGAGATGGAATCTCTCTATGGAGCCCTGGGTGTCCTGGAAGTTACTGTGTAGACCAGGCTAATCTTATATACTGGTATGCATACCCACAGAGATCTGCCTGCTCCTGCCTCCCAAGTGCTGGGAGTAAAGGCGTGTGCCACACCTGGTTTTTACAGTGCTGAGACTGAAAGACTTTGGGGGCATCTGAAGTTGGATTGAATACATTTCATATTATGCCATGGCCACGGCCACGAGCCATCCCCACACTCATGTTTGAGTGCTTGACCTCCAGTTGGTAGAACTGTTTGGGAAGGATTAGGTGGTGTGGCTGGGGTGTGTCCCTGGAGGTGCACTTTGAGGTTTCAAACACCCACAGCATTCCTAGTTAGCATGCTTTCTGTCTCCCTGTCTCACGCTTGTGGATCTTATGTAACATTATGTGAAATAAGGCAAATGCCCACCTCCCCCCACCATGAACATGAGAAAAAAGCTGCTTTTCATGAAGTATGCCTTTAATCCTGGCTACTGAATGAGCTAGGGACATCACTTGAGACAAGTCTGAGCATCATAGTGACATCCTATATCCATTAATAATTTTATACTTCTTTTCAGATTTATGTTTTCATTTATGTGTATGAGTATTTTTCCTGCATGTATGTATGTCCACTGCCTGCATGCCTGGTGCCCAGAGACCAGAAGAGGTGCCAGATCTCCTAGAATTGCAGTTACCAACTGTTGTAAGCTGCCACATGAATGTTGAGAACCAAATTCAGGTCCTCTGCAAAAACAGCAAGCACATTTAACTACTTAGCCATCAGCCATCTCTCCAGCTCTGCAACTCCCTATTTTTATACTTTAAAAATGTAAACCTTATCTCAAAAAAACATACAAACAAAAACCATGTAAAAATTGAAATATAGACCTGACAGTGTTGGTATATGTCTTTAATCCCAGCACTTGGGAGGCAGAGACAGGCAAATTTCTGTGGGTTTGAGACCAGCCTGGTCTGTAGAGCAAGCTCCAGGAGAGGCTCCAAAGCTACACAGAAAAACCCTGTCTTGAAAAACAAACAAACAAATACAAAAGAAGAATAGAATTATGAGATGAGATGATAGACCTGTAGAAAGGGCTTGCATGAAGGCTGGGGTGATAGCTCAGCATTTCAAAAACACTTGTTGTACCTGTAGAAGATGCAAGTTCAATTCCCAACACCCACAACCCACATGGTGGCTCATCACAATCATCTGTAACTCCAATCCCGGGGGATTCTATGCTTTCTTCCAGATGTGCATGTGGTGTACAGAGATACATGTGTTCAAAAAACCCATATATATATATATATATATATATATATATGCGCAAACTAAAAATAAACCTAGAAAAATAAAAGGAAGGCACTTACACTAACGACTACAGCGGCACTAGTCCTCTTCAGCCCATTCATTTTGTTTTTTATTATGTAATTCCAGTACTTGGTAGGGGCGGGGTGTAAAATTTACTGGTTCAGAAGTTCAAGGCTGGCATCAACTTTATAGTGAGCTTGAGACCAGACTATATTACATGAGTCTTTGTCTCAAACAAAAGCTAAAAAACCCAAAAACTGGATTAAAAGCTATACATAGATTAAATATAGCTATCAAATAGCACACACTCATGTAATTAAGTCAGATCAAGAAATAGAACACACATGTCTTAGTTACTTTCCTGCTTCTTACAAAACACAAAGGCAACTTAGAAAAGAAAACATTTAATGTTGGACTTATTGGTTCAGAGGATGAGTTCATGACCATTGTCTCAGTCAGGGTTCTATTGCTGTGAAGAGACACCATGACCATGGCAACTTTTAGAAATGAAAACATCTAATTGAGATGGCAGCTTACATCTTCAGAGGTTCAGTCCATTATCATCATAGTGGGGAGCTTGCCAGTGTGCAGACATGGTGCTGGCTACATCTTACAGGCAAAGTCACCTAAGACACTGAGCAGTATCCTGAGCATAGGAAACCACTCCAAAAAAGCCACATCTTCTAATAGTGCTACTCCCTATGAGATTGTTCAATTATATTGAAGCTACAACAGCCATCATGGGGAGCCCAGAAGCAGGCAGGCATGGTGCTGGAGCAGGAGCTGAGAGCTCATCTTACAAGTGTGAGCCAGGGAGAGCTAACTGGGAATGGTGTGGGATTTGAGAACTCAAGCTGTACCCTCATCACCCTCAGTGATACACCTTCTCCCTCCAACAAGAACATATTTCCTAATCCTCAAACAATTCAACCACCTGGGGATCACATATTTAAATATATGAGCCTATGAGGGTCATTCTTATTCACACTACCACAAATGCCCCTTCTAGTTCCTTTATTAAAGGCTCCTTTAGTTCCTTTACTTAACTATTTTAATAGCATGAGGGGTGAGGGTCATGAGATCATTGTCCTCAAGACAGCAGAAGCCCAAAAGATGGTCTCTTTGACCTGGGTATGCAAATGAGAATAATCAAATCCTCAGAAATTGCTAATATCTGTCTCCTAATGGTCTCTTCTTAGGAGATCCAAGTGAACAGAGAGTGTGATGACCTGGCCAACTCAGTGAATGCAATTCTTCCAGGACTTTGTATAAAGAATAACACTTCCAGAAGAAAAGACGGACTCTGGTCTGGTCTCTAGTTTGCCATTCTAATGTCCACACTGCTGCCCATTCAATATACAGCATGCTCTTCTGCATCTGCCATAATCTGTGCTTCATTTCCTATGGCTCATTCATCCAACTAAAAAAACTTCCCATGAACAAATGGACACAAGGACAATGATATCTCTGTCATCCAGGTGTTCATGTTTTGGTGACCCTGTTAGACAAAATATAAGGAGAGATGCAGATGAAATTCCCAAGCTCTTGCAAGAAGGCAAACAGTCACAACCCATTGGAAGGTAACTGTTCATCATGTTCCAAACAGTAAAATCACCATGTGCTTCCATCTAGCTAACTGACTAATCTGCACTACAGAAATAACCAGAGCTGCATAGAAAAACTGCTGCTGACTGACCAGGCAGTGTAACTCGGTAGAGTGTTTGCTTAGCATACAGAAAACCCTGGCTTTGATTCCACAGCACCAGGTAAAGAAGTGCAATCCCGCATGCCTGCAGTTCAAGCACTCCAGAAGTGTAGGCAGGAGAAAAAGAAGTTCAAAGCCATCCTCCACAACCTGGTCGAGTTTGAGGATAGCCTGGGCTACAGAAGACCCTGTCTCAAAAAAGAAAAGTAAAAAAGCTATCTGTAGAGCTGGTGTTAAATGTCTGTGATTTTGGCTTTGGGAGATTGAGTCAGAGACATAGTGATTTAAGACCAGTCTGGGTTACATAGCAGGAATCTGCATAAGAAGGACTGATGCTTGAAGACACTCACCAAAGCCAGCTTTCTGTAGTGATGGAAACTGGAAACAGGTGAAATGCTCAGTAACTAAGGTCTGGGACTCTGCCAATGTTCAGAGCCAGTGATCCAAGAAAAGGATAATTCATGATGACAAACACAATTAACAGGGGTGAGAATATCAGGGTCATGTGGTTTTCTGCTAGTTCCCCAAAAAGTCAATTAGTGTTACCATCCATTGAAATATTAATGTTTTCAAGAGAAATGATAACACATCACACAAAACCTTGTGAGTGGAAGCCAAGACAACAGGTCAGAAGGTGAAGATACTTGCTACCAAGCATGACCAGAGTTTGAGCCCCAGACCCCACCCATGTGCTGTGGCATGTGTGCCCTTCTGCACACATAAATAAATAAATGTGATGAAAATAATTTAATAAACATCTCACAATTGTTCTTAGCAGCATCATTCATAATATCTAGAAGGTCCAAAAGATAACACTGGATAAATATAATTGGCATATATACACAGTGCAATGCTATTTGGCCACAAAGGAATAAATGTTAGGATGATTAAGATTATAAAGTTGATTATGATGATAGTTATATAACTGTGAATATAGAAGCCACCGTAGTAAATATATCACTTTGAAAGAATGAGTATATCACAATAAAGTTGCTTTTGAAGGAACATCACCAGTCCCTACATGGATGCAACTTTAAACATACTGTGAGATGTTAGTCAAAGATCATGTGTTGTATGTCTTTCTGTGAACTGTCCATATTAGATCCACATACATGGTAGAATTTAGGGTATGGAGAATCCAGGATTGACAGCTACAGGTTATGGGTTTCTGTTTGTTACTTTTTTTTAATTGATATATAAATCACTGTGACCAAGGCAACTTATAAAAGAAAGTGTTCTGTGCTGGAAAGATGACTCAGCTGCTAAGAGCACTGCAGGTTCTTCCAGAGGACAAGGCTTCAATTCCCACCACCCATGTAGCAGCTTACATCTATTTCTAACTCCAGTTCCAGAGGATACAACATACTCTTTTGGCCCCCAAGGGGCACTGCATGCATGTGGTACACAGACACACGGGAAGGCAAAATAACTATATACATAATAATTTTCAAAGTAATGAAAATAAAGAAGAGCATTTTATTTGGTTTATGGTTTCAGAGGGTTGGAGTCCATGATACTGTAAAGGAAGAGCTGGAAGTTCACATCTGATCCACAACCACAGGCAGGGGGAGCACTGAGAATTGTAGGAGTCTTTGACACCTCAAAGCCTGCCCCAGTGACACATGTTCCCCAAGGTCACACGTCCTGATCCTGCCTGTGTTAGGGTTCTCTAAAGGAACAGAACTGATAGACATATATTTATATGTATGAGATTATGTACAGTGGCTTACAGGCTATGGTCCAAATAGTCCAACAAAGGCTAATCTTCCTCACTAATTTTCCAGTTATGCTCTTTCCAACCCCTAACCATCCAGCCAGTCTGAAGGCTACAGCCCATGAATCAGTGAGCAGTCACACATCTGGCCATTTCTCCCTCCAAACAGTGTATGGCCATGTGTACAGCCCACTATGAAGGTTTCCCTTTGCCAGTGCCTTTCAGGGTTGTCTCAGAAAGGGCTTGTAATGCTGAAGCTTTCTATTTCTGGGTGGTACTTACATAGAGTTCAGAATCATCAGTAAACAGGACCCTAGTCACCCCATCCTTAGACAACTGATCATAGGGCATAGCCCAGCTATGGTGCATGCTGGGTAGCAGAGGACATTGTAACAGGAGTTGAAACCATAGGCATTTGAACAACTTCATCAAGTAACTTGCTTGTGTCTTCAGGACCTGCTTGGGACCGATCATGTATATACCACTTCCATTTGACAATGGACTGCTGCTGTGCACGTCCTTCTTCATGGCTTGATGGGTCCAATAATACCCAGATCATAATGAGCAGCTCAGGTCATATGGTAACTTGGCGGTCCATTGTAAAACGTTCAGTTTCCACTAAGGACCAATAGCAGGCCAAGAGCTGTCACTCAAAGGAAGAGCAGTTGTCTGTGGGTGATGGTAGAGCCTTGCTCCAGAATCTCAAAAGTCTCTTCTGTGATCACCTATGGGGCCTGCCAAAGGCTCCAAACAGCATCCCTATCTGCCACTGACACCTCAAGTACCATAGGGTCTGCTGGATCATATGGTTCAAGTGGTAGAGAAGCCTGCATAGCATCTGCACCCATTGAAAATTCTTCTGTCCCAGCCCCATTCAAAAGCTAGCAGCTTTCTGAGTCACTTGGTATATGGACCATAGTAACAGACCCAAGTGAGGAATGTGCTGTCTCCAGAATTCAAATGGACCACTAGACATAGTGTTTCTTTCTTGGTGGTGGGAGGGGCCAGGCGCAATAAGTTATCCTTTACTTTAGAAGGAATATGCCTGCATGCCCCACACTACTAGACTCCTAAGAATTTCATAGAGGTAGAGGCCCTTGAAATTTGTTTGGATAAGCTGGGCAGTGGTGGTGTACACTTTTAATCCTAGTGCTTGGGAGGTGGAGACAAGCAGATCTCAGTGAGTTTCAGGCCAACATTGCCTACAAAGTGAGTTCCAGGACAACCAGGACTGTTGCACAGAGAAACCCTGTCTTGAAAAACCACTTTAAAAAAATTGGGCCAAGTGGTAGTGGCGCATGTCTTTAGTTCCAATACTTGGGAGGCAGAGGCAGGTGGATCTTTGTGAGTTCAAGGCTACAGAGTAAGTGCCAAGACAGCCAGAGATACACAGAGAAACCCTGTCTCAAAAAACCACTTTTAAAAAAAAGGAAAAGAAAAAGAAATTTGGTTGGTGGATTTTTTCCTATCATCTGATGTGTATATTTGTACATTTGTCACCAACAAGTCCAAAGTTGCTCCCTCTTTCTCATTGGATCCAATCAGCATAATGTCGTCATTATGGTGCACCAATATGATATTTCGTGGCAGAGACAATCAAGATCTCTTCAATTGAAGAGTTAATGTGTCCTTAAGGTAAAACTGTAAACGTGTACTGCTGGCCTTGCCAACTGAAAGCAGATTGCTTCTGGTGGTCCTTCTGGACAGGTACCAAGAAAAAGGTATTGCTAGATCAGTAGCTATATACCATGTACCAAGAGGTGTGTTAATCTGCTCAAGTAGCTGTAATCAGAGTCACTGCTTGATTGAGTTTTCAGTAGTCAACTGTCATTCTTCACAATCCATCAGTCTTCTGCATTGGCCAGATAGGAGAGTTAAAGGGAGATATGGGAACCACCATCCCTGGACCTTTCATGTCCTTGACAGTGGCACTAATTTCTACAATTCCTCTAGGAATGTAATATTGTCTCTAATTCACTGTGTTCCCTGGGAAAGGCAATTCCAATGGCCTCCATTTAGCCTTTCTAACCTCATATACTCCAGGTGAGGGAACTAATGTGGGAATCTGCCAGCTTTTGAGTATGTCTATCCCCACTGTACATTCTAATACTGGCAAAGTAACTACAGGATGATTTCAGGGACTCCCTGGACCTATTGTGAATCAGACTTCAATCAAAACTCTATTCATTACTTGGGCCCCATAAGCCCCTACTTTATGTGGATTTTACAATGCTTCTTGAGGTCTCTCAGAATCAGTGTCCTGGAAAGTCTGCTTGCTTCTTTCCTCCAGTGTGCAGTTACCCCTGTGAAAGGCCATAGGTCTCTCTGGGGAAGAACTGGGGGAGGCATTTTTAACTATATGAGCTTCCATAGTAAACTAGAATCGCCTAAGAGATCTAGTTTTATGCACTTCCATACTTTTAAAATCCATTCCTACACATATTCCCAACTTCTGCTTGCAAGAATTAGCAAATTCATTAAGTTCTTTAGTGGTTTAGCTCACCTCCTCATGAACTTCACTTTCTACCTCCCCTCTAGCAGCCTGCTTAGCCTTTAGTCTGGCTATAGTCTACAGGCACCTGTTGGAGGACCCTGAGGGATGTCAGTATATATTCATGGAACCTCCTTTATGGGAACCTCACTGCTGGTTCCAAGATGATAAGGATTAATTTCCCAGGCAGAGGAGGAAAGGACGATACTGTAGGGGTGAAGATGAGGAGGAGGAACTGATTCCTCAAGTGAGATAAACCCTGCAGATTATGGGGACTCATGTTCTCTCAGAAGGAGACACCCCCCCACACACACACACACACATCTCTATCCAAGCTACAGGACCTCATTCCTTACCAGGCAACCAATGCCCCACATTAATCACACACTCCCTCTGAGGCTAGGACTTGACTTTTCATGTAATTCAGCCAATTCTACTGAGGGCTTCCATCTGATTTTCCAAAACTTGAGCTCTGTGGCTGTTGGTGTGAAGCTCCTCTTCAAGAGCACACTTAGAAACCTGCAGAGCATATGTGCATGTTCAGCTGGTCAGTAGTTTCACCAAGGTCTTTCTTCCCCTTGGCACTGTGTCATCCTTCTTTGTCAATTTATCCTGAAATGCTAGAAATAAGGATGGAGTGTCCTAGTTAGGGTTTCTATTGCTGTGAAGAGACACCATGACCATGGCAACTTTTTAAAAAGGAAAACATTTGATTGTGGGTGTCTTACATTTTCAGAGATTTAGTCCATTATCTTCATGGTGGTATGCAGGCAGACATGGTGCTGGAGAAGGAGCTGAGAGTTCTACATCTTGATTTTCAAGCAACAGTGTAAGACCCTCAGATGAGGAGCCTCCCAGTTTCAGTCGGTATCCCCAAGAACTCAATACCCAGTCCAGTTGCTGCAACACGCAAGAGACTTTAATGAACAGGAAACATTTGCGCAAACGGGCTCCCTCAGCACACAGGCTAGAGAGAAGCCCCATCCCCTGGGCACAGGTGTTTTTAAAGGCAAAACCCACAAGCTTAGGGAGGGGGTGTGACTCTTAGTCCATTGAGTATATGACCCCTGTTAGGGTCAACAGACCTTAGGGCCTCAGGGTGTGCTAATTAATCTTGTCTGGGCAAACCAGAGGTGCAGCTATCTCTTTGTTTTCTAAGGACCCTATTTACCACCTGCTGACTCACAGGAAAGGAGGGGCAGTGTGAATTCTTGGTATTCTGCCATCTCAGGGCCTTGTGAGAAGTTAGCAAATTCCAGGTCAGACTGTCCTTTATCTCAAGTAGGGGAGTTTCTTAAACTTTACTTTTTTGTCTTTCATTCCCCCCTTGTTCTTTTGTCAATAGTTCTAATCTTAGAATTATGGAAATTAAGAGGCAGCCTCCTCTTGGCTCCGCAGGCTTCTGTACTGTTATTTAAGTATCATAATCTGGACTGCACTCACTTATTTTTAACAAAAGTAACAAGAGAGGAATAAAAATGAGCAGTTGTAGGAGGCTGTTCCTGGGTCCTATAACTTCGAGTGGTGTGGGGGTGGGTCCAGAGAAGGAGGACATATTCTGGA